GGACGCCAACGCCGCAAATTAAAGTGATTGCTGCGTGCTGACAATCCGAAATGCCACAACGCGAGTCTTGGGACTTGAACCCCCCGAATCAACGTGACTGTCGCGCCCTGACAGTCCTAATTCATGCCAGAACACCATTCCTGGACGTCAACCCTACGATGCCGCGAAACCGTTGCTAACTGTTCGAACGAATGTGCGCGGCGCCAATGCGAGAGTCACATTCACATGTTGAAAGGACCCGCCTTTCATCCTTGAAACTCTTGCATTTACAACGAATGTGCGAGGCGCTACGGAAAGAACCACATTTTCGAATGGACCCGCCCTCCATTTTTGAAGCTGTCGCAGGCGAGTGTGCGTGGCGCTATGGCGAGAGCCGCATGTTGAAAAGCACCCGCCCTCCATCCTTTGAAGCTGTTACAAAGCTTAAGCTTCAGAGTCGTAGCCAGTGATGAAGTCTCAGGCGAAACGTCCAGCCCGCCCTGCGGACACGTCTGCGGGTGCGACCTGCAGGAGTTAATTACAAGGGAAACGGGTGGAGGAGGAGGAGGAGGAGGAGGAGGCGGAGGAGGAGGAGGAGGAGTGAGGAGTGAGGAGTGAGGAGTGAGGAGTGAGGGGTGAGGAGTGAGGGGTGAGGAGTGAGGAGTGAGGCCTCAGCCCTCAGAGCTGCCCCCCATCCCAGAGCCCCAAGAGGGCCCACGACGCGGTGGCCCCCAAGAGAGCCTCACGGCGAAGACCGCGCCAACACGGTCCAAAGACTCCGCGATACGGTCCCCATGCTGGGGCCAAATGTGGACCTCCCTATGTCAGAGCCCCGAATCATCAGGGGTAACTCGGGTCAGGGCTAACTCGGGTTCGTTTTTTCGGGAATCCGAACCCGAGTTACCCCGGACCCGAGTTACCCCGGATAACTCGGGCGCCCAGAGCCCCGAATCATCAGGGGTAACTCGGGTCAGGGCTAACTCGGGTTCGTTTTTTCGGGAATCCGAACCCGAGTTACCCCGGACCCGAGTTACCCCGGATAACTCGGGCGCCCAACTATGAGGTGCAGAGAACGTGCGAGGGGGTTGCGGGAACGGGTGTGGGACAACATGCTTGTGCGTCCACAGGACCGTACGTGGAGCTTCTTATGTGGGGGGGGCGCAGAGCGTTGAAGGGCTGTGTCGATGTGCACATGCGGACGGAGAGCAGCGGCTGACAGAGGAGGAGGGGTAGTAGGGGGATGGGGAGGGGGAGGAGGAGGAGGAGGAGGAGGAGGAGGAGGAGGAGGAGGAGGAGGAGGAAGAGGAGGAGGAGGAGGAGGCGGAGGAGGCGGAGGTGGAGGCGGAGGCGGAGGCGGAGGCGGAGGAGGAGGAGGAGGAGGAAGAAGAAAAAGAAGAAGACGAAAAAGAAGAAGACGAAGAATACTAAGAAACATAAGAAGAAGAAGAAGAAGAAGAAGAAGAAGAAGAAGAGGATGAGGAGGAGGAGGAGGAAGAGGAGAAATCCTTCGCGGCGCTCCGCATTCTCGACACATTGCCCAATAGCAGGGGAGGGGGCTGGGAAACCCCCAACGAGCTCCAACTTGGCTCCACGAGACGCCCCCCCCCCCGAGCCTTCAAGTCCGAGGCTGCACCCAACAAGAGTCTCCGTTCTTGGCTCGCCCTCTCCTCCGCGGCTGGCCGCGTGGCGGCCGCCGCGCCTGCCTGCCTGCCGCATCCCGTCTGCCTGCGGGGGGGAAGCAGTGCGGTGTGCGGGGCCCCGAGGGGGAACTTAGGGCCCCCCCCCCCCGAGCCTTCAGCCAGCGCCGTTAACAGACAGAATCTGCTCTGGATCCCACCTCTTGCCGACGCCGGGCAGGGAGCGCACGGCCGGAAGGTTCCAGTGTTTGGGGCGCTTCGGCCCCGCCCTGCAGCACCCGCGCGGTGCACCATGCAGGCCGTTCCGTTCCTCGGAGGCCAACAAGCATACACCGACACCGAATGCGGGGGGTGAGACAAAGATTTTTACACATGGTGATCCATTGATGATGAGCGCCACGCCAGCAAAACGAACAAAGAAACAGGAGTGGGGCGCTGGTGTAGACGAGGAAAGGGGCGAGGAAGAGGCCAGGGGTAAACGAAACGTTCCGTTCCGAGCCTTCAGATCCGAGGCCGCACTCCACGTGAGCCGCCAGTGGTGGCTCGTCCTCGCCTCCGCTGCTGGCCAGGGGGCGGCCCCCAGGGCCAGACTGCTGGCCACCTCCCGTCCCCGGGCGAGGGGGAAGCGACACGGCGTGCGGTCAGGTCCCTGTGGAGTGGGACCCCATGGGAATTGGCCCCATGTCGGAACTGCCGGACAATTTCTTTGCTCTCAGTCACCATTGTCCAGCCATTCGAGCATTGTTGCCAGCGTGAACCCCAAATCATAAGTAATTTCGCTGTGGATGCGTAAGCTACGTGGTGCAAGCTACGTGGTGCAAGCTGCGTGGTGCAAGGTACGTGGTGCACGCTATGTGGTGCAAGCCATGATGTGCAAGCAATGTGGTACAAGCTATGTGATGCAAGCTATGTCGCGTATAATTAAATGATGCGGTGCGAATTCGGTGTTGTGAGCCGTATGGTGTGAGCTATTCGGTACAACACATATGGTATAAGCTATGTGGTGCACGCTATGCGGTTCAGAGCGTGAATTACCTACACCTACCCCGCTTTCGCTTCCAGGCAAAACCAAGTCATGCCACGCGCCTCCTCGTCAGGCGGCCTGACCAGCACAGGCCGTAGTGTGGCGTCGCTTGGTATCTCTTGGAAGCGAGGGTGGTCAGAAGCGCCCGCGGCGCCGCTGACGCCGCAGGCGCCTCTTCCGGAGGGGGAGGAGGAGGAGGAGGAGGAGGAGGAGGAGGAGGAGGAGGAGGAGGAGGAGGAGGAGGAGGAGGAGGAGGAGGAGGGGAGGAGGGAGGAGGAGGAGGAGGAGGAGGAGGGGAGGAGGAGGAGGGAGGAGGAGGAGGAGGAGGAGGAGGAGGAGGAGGAGGGGGAGGGGGAGGAGGAGGAGGAGGAGGGGAGGGGGAGGGGGAGGGGGAGGGGCAGGGGGAGGAGGAAAGCCTCTGTGGTGAAGGCCGCGCGGCAAGAGAGCTGTGCGGTGCACGCTGTGCGGCCGCCCCCGCGCACCCAGCGCCCGCGAGGCGCCCACGGGGGCCCACCTCGCGGGCGCCGGGCGAAGCCTCGGCTGGCCCGCCCAGCGTGCAGCGCCGTGTTTTTTATACATATGTCGGGGGAGCGTAAGACGCGGAAATCCGAGCCCTGCAGTCGAGGCTGACGAGTAGATCGGCCTCGCCAAGTCAAGGGTACCCCTCGTGTCCTGTGCTTCGCGACCCATGCCTCCTGCAGATTCCTATGGCAACCTGGCCCTCGGCAGGGTCTTGCGTCCTCTCGCGTGTCCTCTCCGATAAACCTCGACTGCTGCCCTCGCAGATCCCAGGCAACTCGGTGGGCGGCGGGGGTGGGGTTCGGAATTTGTCGGACACGTGTCGGGGGAGCGTAAGACGCGGGTTTGCCAGGACTCGGGTTCGCCATCGTTCTTTGACGACCGCGGCCCGGATTCTGACGAGTAGGAACTTCGTGGGATGTCTGCAGCGGGAGTCCTCGTCAAAATGCAGGCTCGTCCTCGTCATTTTTTTGACGACCTCGTCGGGGATTTCCGAGTCCACTGTACCCGGGTCTTACGCTCCCCTGAATATGCTCCGCGTGCGGATCATGTATTAAACATGCAGGAATTTGGTCTTAAAAACAACGATGACTTCATGCATGACTTCATTCATGCATATACTCTGCGTGCGGATCATGTGTATTAAAAGTGCAGGGTTTAGTACTGAAATCAACGATGAGTTCATGCATAACTTCACTCATACATGGATCATGTATTAACAATCCTAAATGTTTTACGTCCCATGTATTAGAAACAACGATGAGTTCATGCATAACTTCACTCATACATGGATCATGTATTAACAATCCTAAATGTTTTAAGTCCCATGTATTAAAAACAACGATGAGTTCATGCATAACTTCACTCATCCATGGATCATGTATTAACAATCCTAAATGTTTTAAGCCCCATGTATTAAAAACAACGATGAGTTCATGCATAACTTCACTCATACATGGATCATGTATTAACAATCCTAGATGTTTTAAGTCCCATGTATTTATAAACAACGATGAGTTCATGCATAACTTCACTCATACATGGATCATGTATTCACCATCCTATATTTTTTAAACATCCCATGTATTAAAAACTGCCCTGTACGAGGCGCCCACGGGCGGGCAGCGGAAACATCTCGCCTGGCCCTCCCAGCGCACGAGGCGCTTGCGGGCGGGCACCGGGCGAAGCTGCGGCCGAGGCACCCGGCACACGAGGCGCCCGCGGGCTGGGCGCCAGGCGAAACCTCGGCTGATCCATCCGAATCCTTCGGAAGGAGAGTCGGAGCCCGCAAGTGCTCGCACTGCCTGGGGGCTTGGTGAGAGCCCACTCGTGCCGACACCGTCCGGGGATGTTCTGAGACGGTTGCCCTCTTTTCTCTCGGGAGCAGGTGCTGAAGGACAGAGGCCGAAATTCGTACGATCGCGCAGAGGTTGTCCAAAGGGATCTTCCTTTCCACTCTCCCCCCCCTCACCACCCACCAAACCACCCCAACCCAACCCGAAGGCTCAGATTTACCCTCGATTTCCAGTTGGGGGGGGGTCGGGAAACATCGAGAAAACACGTGTGGAACCCTTACCCCCCCCCCAACCCGAAATTCGGGCCTTCGGGTTGGGTTGGGGTGGTCTGGTAGGTAGTCACCCCCAGCGCCAAGGGGGGGATTGGGAAAGGGGGGGTTACGAAATTTGCTGCGTGCAGCTGGTTTCGGCCTCACCGAGGGGCCCATGCCTCGAGACATAGCCGCCTCCGGCGCGGGGAGGCGCCGGGAAAATCAGCTACGTGAGCTGATTCTCAAACCCCCCCTTTGCTATCCACCCCTTTCGCCCGACCCGACCAGCGCCAAGGTGGAGCTGCTGGATGCCGCAGGAGCCGAGGCGGTGCCCACGGCCCGCCGGGCCGAGGCCGAGGCCGAGGCAGAGGCGCCGGAGGCCCGGGCGGCGCCCGCAGCAGGCGAGGCGCAGGAGTCGGCGGCGGAATCCGAGCCCTGCAGTCGAGGCTGACGAGTAGATCGGCCCCGCGAAGTCAAGGGTATTCGGGGGAGAAAAAGATACGGATACGTGTTGTCCCCTTCGTTTTTGGCCTCTCCTGGTCCTCCTGGGGAATCCTCGTTGTCACCGCTGGATTCGCCTCGAAATTCTGGTCAGAACGCACCCCAAGAGAGGTCCGGGGACAACACGTATCCGTATCTTTCTGCCCCCCAAGGTACCCCTCGTGTCCTGTGCTTCGCGACCCATGCCTCCCGCAGATTCCTTTTGCAACCTGGCCCTCGGCAGGGTCTTGCGTCCTCTCGCGTGTCCTCTCCGATAAACCTCGACTGCTGCCCTCGCAGATCCCAGGCAACTCGATGGGCGGCGGGGGTGGGGTTCGGAATGTGTCGGACACGTGGCGAAGTCCGAACCCCACCCTCGCCTCCCATCGATGCAGGAGAACCGATGGTTGCTGGGGGTAGGGCTCGGATGCCGCCACCCAAGGATGCCGCCCAGGCCGAGGTGGAGGCGCCAGAGGCCACAGCGACGGCGGCCGGCGAGGCCGACAAGGCACGGGCAGAAGTGCCGGAGGCCAGGGCAGCGCCCGTGGCCGACGCGGCGCCCGAAGCCGAGGAGGCCGACGCTGCAGCTGCCGCCGGAGAGGCCGACGGAGAGGCGTCAGAGGACGAGGCGGCACCTGCGGCCGACGAGGCTCGGGAGGCCGACGAGGCGCCGCAGCCCGAGGATGCGCGCGCAGCAGGCGAGGCCGAAGTGAAGGCGCCGAAGCCCTCCGCTGCTCAGGCGGTGGTCGCGGCCGACGAGGCCGAGGCGGCGGCGTCTGCAGCCGACGAGGCTGGGGCTGAGGTGCCGGAGACCGAGGCTGCGGTACCTGTGGTCGGCGATGCGCATGAGGCCGACGAGGCGCCACAGACTCAGGCGGCGGCCGAAGCAGGAAACGCCGCAGTGGCGGAGGCGCCCAAGACAGCGGCAGCCGAGGCGGCGGCCGCGGCAGTGGAGGCTGAGGCGGCCGAGTCGGCTGGCGAAGCCAGGGAGGAGGTGCCAGAGTCCAAAGCTGCGCCGGGGGCCGGTGAAGCACAGGACGCCGTACATGTGCCCGAGGTCGGTGAGGCCGAGGCTGCAGTTGCAACCAACGTGGCCGAGGCAGAGGCGCCAGAGGCTGAGGCGGCACCCACGGCAGACGAGGCGCGGGAAGCCGACGAGGTGTCACAGGCCGAGGTGGCGGCCGCAGCCGGCCAAGCCGAGGTGGAGGCGCCAGAGGCCAGAGTGACCGCGCCCGACGAGGCCGACGCGGCGGTTGCTGCCGACGAGGCAGAGGCAGAAGCGCCAGGGGCCGCGGCAGCACTCCCGGCCGACGCGGAGCCCGAGTCCGATGAAGCCGAGGGTGCAGACGCAACCGAAGAAGCCGAGGCAGAGGCGCCTCAGCCCGTGGCAGCACAGGCAGCCGACGAGGCGACAGAGGCCAGTGAAGCCAAGGGTGCAGCTGCTGCCGAAGCAGAAACGCCGCAGGCCGAGGCAGCACTGGCGGTCGACGTGGCGCCCGAGGCCGACGAGGCGCCACAGGTCGTAGAGGATGCGGCCGCCTCAGCCGACCAAGCAGAGTTGGAGAAACAGGCGACCGCGACATCCGGCACAGTGGCCGCGACCAACCAGGCCGAATCGGGACTTGTGGCCAAGGAGGCGTTGGAGGCCGACGCGGCGCCAGAGGCCGAGGTGACGGCAGCTGCGGACGAGGCCGACGTGGCGCTACAGGCCGCAACGGCCGAGGTGGCAGCCACGACCGAGCAGTCCGAGGCCGAGGCTGCAGCCGACGAGGCCAGCGCGGAGGCACTGGAGGCCGAGGCGCCACGGACGGCCGACGAGGCACAGAAGGCGGGCGAGGCGCGGGAGGCCGAGGCGGCGGCCAGAGCCGACGGCGCCGAGGCGGAAGCGCCGAAGGCTGCGGCGGCAGAGGCGGCGGCCACGGCCGAGGAGGCCGAGGCTGCGGCTGGAGCCGACGAGGCGGGGGCGGCTGCGCCGGAGGCCGAGGCAATGCCCGCGGTCGACGAGGCGCAGAAGGCCGGGGCGGAGTCGTCAGAAGCTGCTGGGGAGGCAGAGGTGGTGGGGCTGGAGGCCACTGCGCTGCCGACTCTTCCGTTCGCCGGGGCCTCCCACACGGTGTCCGAGCGGGCGGGGTTGGAGGTTCGTGCCGCTCTGGCGATGCGGCTGTATGTGTGGCCAGATCTTCTCCATGCCGACAGCGCCGATGCATCGGCGATCCATCGACGATGCGGCGTGCTTCTCCGACTCCCTCGACTCGGACCCCATTGGGGAGGCCTCAGGCTTGTCCCCCATCTGCCACTCTGAGGTTCTTCCTCCCCCATCTTGTCCCTCCCCCCTGTCCTCCTCCCTTCCTCGCCCCTCCCACCCACGTAAGGGCCACAAGCACTCTGGTACAAGCTGCCTTGCTTGTTTGTTCCCTGTGTCAGTCGCTAACTGGTCACTCAAGGTATGTACCCTTACGTTCGCAGCTCGCAGTGCCACATGCTAACATTCTTCTGACTCGGAGGTGGCGTACCCAGGGGGATCCCTGCCGTGCCATCGCCGTGCATGGGTCCATCGCGGTTCGACGGTGATTGGACATGGCCTCTGCGGGCATTGAGGACCCTTGGGCCGTCTAGGGGGCGATTGCTTTCCTGAGCACCTGTTAAGAAACGTTATCGACGACGCCTGCGGCGAATCACCGCTGCCCCCTGCATTTGAGGATACGCCTCTGTGGCCACATGTTTGGGCAAAGTTTGGCCACGCTCGTGGGCCATGCTTTCCCCAAGCCAGCGTGGAAGCCTTCTGCGGAGCACGTGGAGGAGGAGGGGGAGGAGGAGGAGGAGGCGGAGGAGGAGGAGGAGGAGGAGGAGGAGGCGGAGGAGGAGGAGGAGAGGGAGGAGGAGGAGGAGGAGGAGGCGGAGGAGGAGGAGGCGGAGGAGGAGGAGGACGAGGAGGAGAGGGAGAAAGAAGGAGGATGAAGAGAAGGAAGAGGAGACCTTTTGGGAGCTTTGGTCTTTCTTGTGGCCTCCTGCGAGCTTCCTGGGGCCCCCTTGGATGTCTCTTGGGGGCATCCTTGGGCCTCTTGGGGGCCTTTGGTGGCGTCTTGGGGGTCTCTTTGCCCGTCTTACGGCGTTCCTGGCCCGTCTAACGCCGTCGGAAGCCGTCTTGGGAGCCTCTCTGGGCCATCTGGGGGTCCTCTTGGGGCGCGTCGGGGTCGTTTTGAAGGCCATCTTGGGCGTCTTGGAGGCCTCCTGGGCCGTCTTTGGGACACTTTGTGGGTGCCTCTTGGGCCGTCCTCAAGCAATATTGGAGGCCTCTTGGGCGATCTTGGGGCAATCTTCGGGGCCTCCTGGACCGTCTTGGGCCGTCGGAAGGCCGAACAGGAGCAAATGACCGAATCCTTCAGACAACCAGAGGCAGATCAATGATTTGAGCCGCTTCGGGCCTTCATCAATGACCTCTTAGACGCCTCTGGAACCGTCTTGGAGGCCTCTCTGGGGCCTCTTGCGCAGTATCGGGCAATTTTGAAACCATATTTGGGCTGTCTTGGGTGCACCTTCGGCCTTCTAGACAGCTCCCTTGGGGTCGTTTTAGCCGTTTTGGGAGCCCATCTTGGCCGTCTTGAAGGTCATCTTGGGGCCGTCTGGAGCGGGAAGGCCAACGACCCAGTGAGTTTCCCTGGTCTTTCGGGTGGTGTGCGGGCTGGGCCGCAGCCTGAGGAGGAGTTCTGCAGAAAAGAGCCGAAGCCTCCCAGAAGTCTGGCACGCCGTGCACACCTTTGGCATGACCGAGGGGGGCGGTGGATGACGGCAAACGCGCGTCGCGTCGCGATCCGTGAGTCGGGAGAAGTAACGAGAGGGAGCGTGAGGGGGTTGGCCTCGGGAGACCCAGATCCAACCGCCCAGTGTTAGACCATGTTCGGCCCTAGACGGCCCAAGTCAGCCCCGAGAGCGCCTCGGAGGGCTCCAAAATTGCCCCAGACAGCCCCAAGAGCGCCCAGTGTTCTTCCGAGGCGGCCTCCGGGAGGCCGAAAACGATCACAAAACGGCCCAAGAGCGATCAAAGAGGGCCCCAGACGGCCTCAAGATGGCCAAAGAGGACCTCAAGACGCTCCACGAATCCTCCAAAAGGACGCCCAAGAGGCACACATCGTCTCATTCCACTTGGGAAAACTTGCACTTCCAGCATGGCTGTGCGGGCACTTTAGTCACAATGAGAACGGTTCGACGTACATCCATTTCTCTATATAGCCGCTCCTTGCTCGAGCATTCGACAGGGTCTGCATGTGTCCTGCCCTCGGGAACGCCGGGCCCCAGAAGTTTGTTCGGGCACTCGTTCACAGCTCACTGGCCGCCATAGCAGGGCAGGCGGCTACACCCTCGACCACCTTGCCCACCGTGCGAGCTGCGCTACGGCGAGGTAACGGTGCGCCCTGCGTGCGAGGTGAACTGCGGAAATGTGCCCCACTTCAGCTGCCCCGGCCTGGAGTGCCCTGCCGTGACGGTGCCCGCTTGCCCAGCAGCTGCGCCTTGCGAGGGGCCAGGGGCCCCAGGAGCTCGTGCCTACGAGGTGCTGGGAGGTGTGCTGATGGTGACGACAATCACGTTGATCGGCCAGTGGGTTGCAGGACGAGGACAGCGTGATGCTTGCCGCTCGCGCACCGAGAGTGGTGAAGTCCCTGGTGCCGGGGACTCGTCTCCTCTTCAAGTAACGAGGACCTGGTGCACGAGCGCGTCCTACTCTGGCTTCTCTCCAGTAAACGCTGGGCCGTGTTGACCCGAGATGGAGATATCTATGACGAGGTGCTGGTGGATGAGGACGTCGATGAGGTTTACGCGTGCGAAAGGGAGGCCGCCTTCCCGCTCATCTGGCTCATCCTGCCTACCGGTTTCGCGGGAACCTGGAGATAGAGGGCGTTCGGCAGGCCATCCGTGAAGGTCGTGCTGAAGCTGAGCGGCTTCACGCAGAGGGAGCTGCTGCCCTGGTTGAGTTTGCTGATGTGCGTGGCTGGCGTGACTGGGGCGGCGCCGAGTTCGCGCTGGGTGACCTGCTGGGGGCGCCACTGGCTGGAGCAGTCTCTGGAGCGCCTCGTGTGGACGCTGAGCCTGGCGCGGTCTGGACGGCCGCCGCGGCGACATTGAGCTTCTCCCTGAGACGGAGGCTGCAGGCGGTGGTTGGCCTCAAGGGGCCGCGCCGCTTGCGCGCTTCGGGCGGCATCGGGGAGGTGGTGTTCATTGAGAAGATTCAGGGGGGCGCCCTGGCTGACTGCGCTGGGTTTCGACGGCCTGCCGTTCAAAAGTGGGCAGGGGGGGTCAACCGCGCCTCGAGGAGCTGGCAGCGAAGCTCCCAAGGCCGCCGGGCAAGGAGAGGAGGACGACGCCCGTACCTTGTTTGTGCTGCACGATGAGCAGGGCGAGCAAAGGCGTCCGTGGCGGCGCGCGGCAGCGTCGTCTTCAGAGAACTTCTACGAGGATTGGCCCGTCGAGGGCCCACCTGCTACTCAGTGGCTGTCGAAGCACGTGGAGCGCGCTGGAGGGTCGCCGATGCAATGGTATCATCGTGTTTTGGCCGAGTCAAAGATTGCTCCTATTGATCGTGAGGCTTGCGAACTGCCAGTGATCTGCAGGACGTTCGAGCACGCTGGATCGTACGATTAGTTGAATATTCCCTCGTTGTCTTGTTTCGAGGCCTTGTTTGAGTGCCGGCAGCTGCCCCTCGACGCCAACTCGAGGGGCCCAGGGGGTCCGAAGTTCGAGGATGTTGACTTCTGGTTTGGGGCGCGGCAGCGCGGCCTGGGCACTGCGCCATCGCCGTCAGCCCATATCGCGAAGAGGGCCAAGGGCCAGGCCGAGATCGAGACGGCCAGGCAGAAGCCAAGGAGGTGCGGGGACCGAAGAAGGATCGCCCGCCTCCGGAGAAGACGCGAGCTGCAGTCCCCCATTCACCTGGGTCTCCGGGGGCGGAGGGGTCGAAGACAGACCGAGGCCAGCAGGCTTGGTGCTTGGGTTGGGCCACCGCCTACAATCTTGAGATGCCGCAGAGGCCAGTGGAGCTCATCCCACTTCCCCGAGTGGCCGTGACTGAAGTCACTGGGAAGCACCTTTCTCGAGGGGCTCGACAGCGCGCTGGGCGTGGCCGTCGCGCTGCTTTGCGCGTCAGCCACGCCGTGGAGTCGCTGGACTGGCTCGCCGGGTGCAGTGACTTGGCCCCCGAGGTGCTACTGGGGGCCATTCTCGGGCCCTGGATATTCTGATGGCGGCCGCGAATGAGAGTGCCCCCGCAGAGCCCGCGCCGCAACCGCATGGAGCTGCCGGCGAGCTTCTGCGTGCCCGAGCAGGTTATTGCTCGGGAGAGTCGCCTGTGATGCCACTTAAGCCAAGTGTGGTTTCCCTCCCGCCCAGCGCCCACTCGCGCCCGATTGCCGCGGGCCTGCCGGAGGGTCGCGATCATGAGTTTCTCAATCATTTCGAGGCGCGGATCGTGATATCGGATGTGGTGTTTTGGACGATCGAGGATAATGCCTTTATTTAGACGTGCGCCTGAAGTCAGATGTCGGCCTGTGCACCACCCTTGACGGGCAGCTCGCCGGGAAGGGCGTCGCGCGTTGGTGCCGCTATGCGAAGGGGAGAAGTACCCTCTTCTTGGTAAGAAAGAAGGGCGGACGCCAACGCCTGATAGTGGGCGCCCGTCGTGCGAACCGCCGCTCTCACGATCCACCCTCTATTAGCCTCGCTACTTGCGAGTCCTTTGGCGAGCTGGAGGTGTCGGGTGACCTCGCGGCGCGCGCCGCTTCGACGGACGCGCGGGACTGTCTCTACTCGCTCAGGATCGACGAGAGGTTGAGCCGATACTGTTGGCCCGCCTGCGATTCGAGCTCGCGGCGCTGGGCTGGCGGGGGGGGATGTGGCAGGCATTGTCCGCGGGCCCGACGATTGGTCTCATCCTTGTTTCGTTGCCTTGCCCATGAGCTTCAAGCGGGGCCTCTATTTCGCGCGGGTGGCCAGCCGAGGACTGGTCGAGAAGGCGCCTTATCTGACGCCCTCAAGTCGGTTGCAGAATTGTGGAGTAGGACAGCTTCTACCAAGCACTCGCGGCACTGTGCGCTACATCTGTGGCGACGACGTCGGGTGCTCAGCGGCAGCAGCGACCTTGTCCAGCGGCTCGCCAGCGAGGCCTCCAAGAAGCTGAACGGCGCAGGCCTCAGCGCGCGCGGTGGCGAGAAGGCTGGCCCGCAGGGCGTCGATTTTGCAGCGATGCTCGACGGGGTCAGCTGAGCGGCTCGCGCTGCTGAGAAAAGATTCCGGCGCTTGGATCGGCGAATCAGCTGGGGGCCGGCCCGCGGCGCTCTCAGCCCGAAGAGGGTGGGGAAGCTCATCGGCCGCCTGACTTTCGCATTCGTGCTGAGGGGACCTACGCTGTCAGCGATGATGCCATGCTGCCAGTTTGCTGGTATAGGTGGAGTTCGGGGCATTCCCCTGCGGGGTGGGGATCCGCGGCAAAAGAACTAGACGCCTGTCGGGATCTCCTCGCCGGGTTATCTTGGGGTCTCATCTGGGATGAGCGGGCGATAGCTACTGGCGCCTGCTTGACTGTGATGGGCGCGGTGGCGGCTGGCATGGATCTTGACTTTGCGAAGTAACGTTGTCGTCGTGACGAGAGGCAACGTTTCCGTAGTCCTGAAGGACTTTGGGTCTCTCGCCCACGTCTTCGTGCTAGGCGCGGTCTAACAGCCAGTGTTCGAGATGCCCTTTCGGGCACCTTCATTGTTAAAGTACCCCGAGGAGCAGCTCAAACATAAGAGCGGGAGGCAGATCTTGATTTTCCCGAGGTGCTCTCTTGCCCTGTAAGAAATGCCCCTGGTGTATTTTGCATTCCGGGCATTGCATGCGAAAAGAACCTTTTTCAGACTCTAGAGGCGAAGGCCGTTATTTGGGCTCTGCGGCGCCAGTCCAAGGACCATCGGTTATCATTGCCGACGTCGTGTGTACCCATGTGATAAGATTGGCGTCGTCCTGCAATTTTCAAAGGCAGGGCGTGCGATGCTAAACTCAACTGTTGCGATCGTCGGTGCGCGGCCCTCTTGATGGCCACCGCCTGCGCGGCCCCGGTGCGACGGGCCCCATCTGAACTGAATCCCGCTGATGAGCCATATCGTCGGTCCGAGCCGACTTCGGACGGCAAGGCCCCGCGGCCTCCTCCCGGCCTCGCCCTTCCCAGCGCCGACCCCTTGATTCATGGGCCTCGTTCGGCGCGCGCTTGCGCCTGCGAGATCCCCAGCGCTGGCCGCCGACCTGGGGGGCATGCCAAGACGAGGCAGCCGACTGGAGCATTTGCAGGGGTAGAGAGGCGGATCCTGAGGGGGGCCAGGGAGTTGAGGCTGATCGCCAAACAGGGCCGCGCTGAGAAGAGGCGACGCACCCAGAGCAAGGAGCGGACCTCAGCCGCGCAGAGCGACAGAAGCTTCTTGGAGACTCGGGCAATTAAGCCCGCCGCCAGGAAGACCAATGCCCAGTCCGCGAAGACGATCTTGGACTGCGCCAAGGCGATGGAGGTGAATCCCCTGGCCCCCTGGACTTCGATCGGATGCTGCGCGACCTTTTCGACAATGCGTACTTCGAGGGCGAGGGCGGGTCCGTGGGCCGCCAGACGATTGCCGCCCGGTTGGGTTGCGTGCCCGAGCGCAGGAGGATGGGGGATCTACGTTTACTTCGGGCGCATCGCGCTCTCAAGGAGTGGGACAGACAGGCCCTCGGCTTCTCTCGCCTTCCGGGGGCCTTCGAGGCGCGGGCCGCCCTCTGCGCCGAGCTGTCGAGGGGGCAGACCCGATGTCCAGGTCGGCAGCGCTCGAGCTGCTGGTCATGCTCAGTTTTAGGGCGCGCCCTGGAGAGGCGCGCGCCCTGCGCGCTCGCTGGTTAGTGGCGCCAGCTCGCAACGTCGGCCGCCACTGGGCCCTCGTCTTCTGACCTCGCGAGGACCGACCCCCAACCGAGGCCGGGCGTTTCGACGACGCCGTGGAGTGGGGCCACCCGCGTCTCCAGTGGGTCGGGGGCCTCTTCAGTCAGATGGAGGAGGGGCGCCTGGCGGGAGATCCGCCGCGGCAGTGCACCTGCGAGGACTCCGCCAAGATGGTCCAGAAGGCGGCAGCCAAGATCGGGATGCACAGCGCGGCGCCCTACCTGGCCCGCCACAGCGGGGCCTCCATCGACGCCTTGAACCACCTGGGGCCGCTGGGGGAGATTCGAAAGAGAGGAAGGTGGCGAAGTTTGAGCAGTGTGACGCGACACGAAAAGGAGGACGGATCTTGGAGAGGTGGCAGAGCTTGCCGAAGCCCTTCAAGGACTACGCCACAGCGTGCGCAAGGCATCTCCAGGGGAACTTCATGGGCCAGAACGCGTTTTTCGCGGCGCCGACGCTGCCAGTGTTTGAAGCGTGGACGACCTCTTCTCGAGCAGCGGGAGATTCGCGAGGTCCGCGAAGCGGAACGGAGGACGGCGTGTTTCGATTGACATCATCCACAGACCGCATCACGAGTTGACAAGAGATGTTTAGAGAAGAGTGATGGCTCGCCTCCAGAAGCCCGAATGTAGAGGAGCCTTGATCAGATGCCCCTGTGTGACCTTCTCAAGAGCTCGTAGAGGAAAACCCCCTCCCCTTAGTACAAATGCACACGTTTCTGGCGTCCCTCACCTCTCGGTGTCGGATCGAGAATAGGTTAGAGTCGGGAACCGTCTGGCCATTTTCTCGCTTCAAGTTTTCTTCTTCGCCGCAAGCTGGGAAAGGTTGTTGTGATCGACGAGAATCCCAAAATCTCGATGCTCTGGCGCCTTTCTAGCTTCGAGAAGGCAGCTTCGCTTCCTAAAGTTGTAATTCGTGGCGCGCATTTCTGTCGGTGGGGAACCGTAGCGGAAAACCACGCGCTTCATAATCTGTAATGTTGTGGACAGCTCGAGAGATCTTGAACGCAGATGTTCGGGTCGAGGCCTTTGCGGTACAACACGATGTGCACACAGGGTCCTTGAAGGCAAGGCCCCTGGCAGTCGTTTCTGGACGCTGACTGCGCAACCCTATTCTCGACCTCCTGTACGCATGCTTCAGTCGACTTTTCAACCACGATAAACAGCGCACGCATGCCATCCGTGATTTTCGATGGCTGTGATTCCGGGGGTGTGATTTGCCTTGGTGCCTTTCGCGTGTCGCAAGGTAGCGCGAGGACGAAGCCCCCCCCCGCGAGTGATCTCCAGGCCTGACTTCACTACGAAACTTGCAGCTGGGTGAAAATGTCATGGCTGTGCGGGCACTTTAATGACAATGAGAACCGTTCGGTGCACGTTCATTTCTCTATAACCGCTCCTTGCTCCCCACCCCTCTCACCCTTTTAATGGGAATGTGTTTTGCCTTTGCTGCCTCTCGCGTGTCGCAGGGCAGCGCGAGGACGAAGCCCCCCCGCGAGTGAACTCCAGGCCTGGCTTCACTACAGAACCTGCTGCATGTTATATCCTTTCCATTGGCCCCCACGAGCGCCCCAAGACGGCGCACGAGGCCGCCCACACGGCCCAACGACGGCTCCAAAACGGCCCAGGAGGGCTCCAAGATGGCCCAAGAGAGCGTTAAAACGGCGAGAGGCCCCTGAGGGTCGCGATGACGTTCCCGTGGGGCGAAAACCTTTAGGGAGGGGTTCCAGGGTAGGGGCGAGGCGCAGGCGAAAAATAACGGAACGAGCGAGGCACGAGTGATGACGAAACCCTCGAAGGAGGGGTTCCAGGGGAGGGGCGATGGGGGGCATGCATACGTCTAATGGCTGCATGGGGACCGTTTCCCTCGTATTTTTTCTGGTGAAGCGGCTCCCAGGCGGTTTCCATGGCTTCTTTTTTTCTTCTATGTTTTCGAATGACGCGGCACCAAGACGGCCCCAAGAAAGCATCATATGGCCTCCAGACGGTCCACGAGAGCCTCAAGACGAATCCAGAGGCCTTCCCGAGGGTTTCCGGAAGGGCTACCAGAGGCGGAACACCCGAATTTTTCAATGGTTTTTGCATGTTTGGGGGGTTCGTGCCTATTCGGGCCAAGAAGGTTCCAAAACGGCCCACGAGGCTTCCAATATCGCCCCAGGACGACCCAAAAGGCGCCTGAAAGGGCCCGAAAACCAAGGGCTCCCTCGAGGGCGCGAAGTTATTCGCGCTTCGCGGTCCTCGTTCCTTCTCCCCCTCCTCCTCGTCCTCCTATTCTCCCTTTGGGAGGGCGGCGCGAGAGCGCGAAGTTATTCGCGCTTCGCGCTTCGCGCAGCGCGAAGCGCGAAGTTGGGAGCCCTAGAAGAAAGTTCCAAAACGGCCCACGAGGCTTCAAATATCGCCCCAATGACGACCCGAAAGGCGCCGGAAAGGGCCCGAAAACGGCATAGGAGGGCCCACGGTCCAAGAGGCTCCCAAAAGGGCCAAAGAAGCTCCCAAGAGGGCCCAAAGAGGCTCCCCAAAGGGCCCCAAGAGGCTCCCAAGACAGCCCCAAGACGGCCATGCCAACACGATCATTGACATCGCAGTAAGCAGCAACTGTCGAACGCAACAAGTCGGTATCACTTGCAAGTGTAAGGCGGTGCCGTTGGGCGTTCGGAGCCAACTAATGCGACCATCTGCCGACTGACCATGGAGGTGTCCAGGTGTGGGGCAGGTGAAATGGGGATCGAGTTTCTGGATGCATGCATGGCCTCGTTCTGCCCCTCACCAGGTCTCAGGGGCATCGATAGGGGGGGGCTCAGGGGAAAGGGCATCGACCCTGAGTCGCCCATTGATCGCCGATAGAGGCCTGATAGCGCATCCCACGTGAGGATTCGCTATCGAGGGCGCATCGCCGATCTGTTGGCGATGTATCGCCGATTTCAGGTCGATGCTCCCTGCCTGAGCCGGCCCCCCACTAACTCGAGGAAACGTGAGCATGGTCTGTGGTGCGTGATTCGCGGCGGGTCCCGTTCCAAGCGAAACCGGCGCGATCCGTCGCCGGATGAGGCGGAATTGTTTTCCAGTTTGGGGGGCACGTTCCCCCATGCATGGATTTGGCGACCACGCACCAGACCGCCAGATCGAGATCCATGGATCTAACGCCCACGCGCCAGATTGCTAACCCATCCTAGCGTGTGCCCAACTAGCGCTCCCCCTCAAGGTCGATCCACCCCAGGGCATGACATGACAGCGCTGTCCGTGTACAGTCGGGGCCCTGAAGAAGGAACCCTTTTCGTTGGAGAGGGGCTCCGCGCTCCTTGAGTGTTTCGCAGCTTGCCTCAGGCTTTCCTTAGGTTTTCGACAGGAAATCGAAGGTTAACTTATGGAAAAAAGGGGCCTCGTTCCTTATTTTGGGTTCCTTAGGTCAAGGCCCCGACTGGAGTTGTTCGGATTCGTGACACCGCTTTTGCTCGCAGCCTGTCGGCGCCGAGTCCAGGTCCACGTTTCCCTCCCTGCGCCGATCCCCTCCTGCGTTCCCCCTCGTGGTCCACCCAGGCCAGGGGATGGTATGAAAACGTCCGCCGTGGGACTTTTTAGCCTCCTGGCACCGATTCTGCTCGGAGCCTGTCGGAGGCCGGCCGCAAGAAGAGCCTTCCTCCGCCTGGGATGGAGGGGGGGTGCAGAGTAGGAAAGGAGGAGGAGGAGGAAGAAGAGGAGGAGGAGGAGAAGAAAGACGACGACGACGACGACGACGACGACGACGACGGAGAGGCTAGGGGGGAGGGAAGAAGAGAATAAGGAGGCGAAAGAAGAGCATGATGAGGAGCAGGAGGAGGAGGAGGCGGAGGAGGAAGAGAAGGAGGAGGGAGGAGGAGGAGGTAGAAGGTAGAAGGTAGAAGGTGGGCAAGGGGATGCTACATTGAAGGAGCAGGAGGAGGGAGGAGGAGGAGGAAGTTGGAGGAGGCGGAGGAGGATCGGAGGGGGAGGGGTGCGCGGATGAGGAGGGACGGAGGGCGAAGTCGGGACCGAGGACGACGATGACGGAGAAGTCTGAAGGGGGTCAGCAGAAGAGAGCACACCGATTCGTCTACCCTTCCCTCTCAACCACGGCTGGATTCGCGTCGAAATTCTGGCCAGAGATTACCAGAAGAGGTCCCTGGAGTAGCGGCTGATGTTCCCCCACAAGGGGGAGGGGAGAAGAGCGGAAGGATACGACAGGGGAGCATGAGTAGGATGGGGTACAAGGGTGAGCAGGAGCATGAGGTGGAAGGTGGGCAAGGAGGAGAGGAAGGGGATAATACATTAAAGGAGCAGGAGGAGGAGGAGGAGGAGAAGGAGGAGGAATAGGAGGAGGAGGAGGAGGAGGATGATAGGGGGAGGGATGAGCGAGGTGCTGGCATGTTCCGTTCCGACAGGGGCCGCTTATCCTTGACGCCATGGTGGTCAACGGCACGGGCGCCAACGGCACCTCTTTCCGCCGCAAGGTCTCCCACTCCCATCCCCCATGATCCTCCCGCTGCCCTTCCGTTTCCTCAATTCGGGCCGGGCGAAAGGGGGGGATAGCAAAGGTGGGGGTTGAGAATCAGCTCACGTAGCTGATTTTCCCGGCGGCGCCGGGAGGCGCCCATGTCTCGAGGAGGGGCCCGGCGGCGGGCACGAAACCAGCTGCACGCATCCAGAGTTCGTACCCCCCCCTTTCCCTATCCCCCCCTTTCGCCCGGCCCGAGACTCCACTGTCCGACCCCGTTAAAGGGAAATTAGGACACACAAATAAATACGCACAAATAAAAATAGTCCCCATATTTTCCTATATTTTCTGGGTTTTTGTCTTCCCCCCCAATTCCTATATTTGTCCATATTTTCGGCCCGAATCTGCTCCTCATACACCGTCCCCGCGGTCCCCCCTATGAAAACGGAAGCCATAGTGCTCTCTACGGTGTCACGCGCAGGAGTGGCGTGCTGGAATCGATTTTCCCGGACCGAGCTGTCGTGAGAAGGGTGCCCTGGCAGAGCAGGGAAAGCAGTAGCGAGACAAAGAGGGGGAGGAACAAACCCAGACCTCGGGCGTCTCGAAAAAATCGAGACAAAGGCTTTTCATCGTTTTCGGCCTCTGGAGGCCCTCGCCGGGCCTCGGGACCGTCAAAAAACGACTCGGGATGAAAAACCGGTCCCGGGGAAGTGGTCGGGAGGTTGGGGGCCCGTGTCTCGAAAAAATCGAGACGTCGGATGTCTGGGAATGCCAGATCGATGCAGGGATCGTGCCGAGCAGCCCCCGACATCGGCCAACTTCTGGCTCTGGGGCCCTCTTGGATACCCTTGCAGGCCATGCTTCAGGAGGGAAAGAAACACACAGACACAATTAATCCTCGATTCCCAGAAAATATGGGAAAATATGGGAATTTGGGGGGAAGACAAAAAACAAGAAAATATGGGAACATATGGTGCGTATTTTTATTTGTGTGTATTTATTTGTGTGTCCTGGGGCCCCTTCAATGCTGGGGTCCTGCTGGGGCCGCAGATCGAAGCACACACCGACTGCATAAAGCATTGACTTGCGGGGCCCCGCGCGGACTTCTTGGCCCGGCGCTGGGCCCCCCCGGGCGGCCGCGCCGCCCCTGGCGTGCTCCTGCCGGGTCCAGCTGCGATCCGAGAAGTCCGCGCGGAGTTCCGAGAGCTTCTTCTTCGACTACGGGTCGCCTTTGGTCAGAGCCCCGAATCATCAGGGGTAACTCGGGTCGGGGATAACTCGGGTTCGTTTTTCGGGAGTCCGAACCCGAGTTACCCCGGACCCGAGTTACCCCGGATAACTCGGGCGTCCAGAGCCCCAAAATCATCAGGGGTAATTCGGGTCAGGGCTAACTCGGGTTCGTTTTTCGGGAACCCAAACCCGAGTTACCCCGGACCCGAGTTACCCCGGATAACTCGGGCGTCCAAGTCGCCTTTGGCTCCCTCTCCGAGCCCGTGTGGGGCTCGGGTGCTTCCCGGGGAGATCCCGGAGGCCGTCGGCCCAGGAGCGGCGGCTCGGACTCGCGGGGCACTCCCGGGGCTGCCCCTGGGGGATTGGGGGCCCTCACGGGCACGAGTCACGGGGGCCGTCTCGAGCCCACGCTGAGGCCTCGGAGGCCCACTGGAGGCAGAAGGTCGAGCAGCCAACTTTGCGGCCCGAGGACACCGCGTACAGTCGGGGCGCTGAAGAAGGAGTCCGTTTCGTTGAGGAGGGGCTCGGTGTTTTTCCATTGTTTTACAGCTTGTCTCAAGTGTTTCTTCGGTTTTCTATGGGGCATCGGAGTGCAGCGTGTGCCAAACATGGGGCCGCGTTCCTTGTCTAGCGTTCCTTGTTTTGGCGGCCCGAGACTCCGAGACTGTCCTCGGCTCGGTTCTTTTATGCGCGTCGGCATCTTGCGAACGCGCCTCCAGAGTGTGCGAGGACGTCCCACCCCGGCGACGCACTCGACCATGAGACCGCACCCCCTGAACCGTCGAAGAAGTACCACTCAAAAGCTGGGCGAGGGCTTCTAAAACCGTGGCTGCTAAAACGGCCCTCCCGGAAGGAAAAAACAACTTCCCGGAATGAGGCGCGGCACGCGAAACAGTCAACGGGCTTCTTCCCGGAAGGACGAAGACAACTTCCCGGAGGTCGATTTTAGCAGCCACGGATTTAGCAGCCCTTGCCCGGCTTCCGAACCACCGCTGCCACGCCTTGGAGGGGACGCGCCTGGACTGGTGGCGGGGAGGTGCTGCCCCTGCCACGCCCTCGACTCGGCGGCGAGCGAGGGGGGGGAGTGAGAAGGAGGAGGCCTTCTCTCAATAGTCGGCGGGGCTCCTCAGAAGCCCTCGCGCCTTCTGCGAGGTTTTTTTGTGTGTCGTCGGGGAAGGCTTAGAAAAGCTCTCAGAAGGCCTGGGCACTTCCAGGCCTTCTGAGAAGGCCTTGTCCTTCCCACTTCCCCCCCAGGTTCGCCGCCGATGGACGGTGAAACACACAAACACCGGATCCCTTGCGCAACCCCTTTCTGGTGTCAAGTACATGGCACGCCTGCCACGCCCAGGGAGCGTGACGCGGACACAGGGTGACCACCCTCTGCGTACGTACCCCCTTTGGTGACAGCAGTTCCTCGATATCAGAAGGGAGTGCGCAGGGGGTGGGCCCCTGACAGTGCCGCGCCCCCGAGGCGTGGCAGGCGTGGCAGTTCTTCGGCA